TAATGGCGGTGCCATTTGTTGGAGGAGTGTCAAACAATCATGTGTGGCTGACTCTACCACAGAGGCTGAGTATGTAGCTGCTTCTGAGGCTGCAAAGGAAGCCGCATGGTTAAAGAAGTTCCTAACGGACCTTCAGGTGATACCAGGTGTTAGTCGTCCCATCACACTTTACTGTGACAACAGTGGGGCAGTAGCACAGTGCAAGGAACCAAGGTGTCACAAAAGGCAAAAGCACATAGAGAGGAAGTACCACTTGATCCGAGATATCATTGAGAGAGGAGACACAGTGGTTGCCAAGATAGCATCGGATGATAACCTTGCTGACCCTTTTACTAAGAGTTTGCCTGAACGTGTGTTCGAGAGGCATGTTACATCTATGGGTCTTGGGAGGATTCCAGATTTGCTATAGCTTTAGGAGTTAATTTTTCACTTCGTTATTTTGTGCTTTTTTGAGCAAGACATTATGGCTTTGTTATTTTTCTGAATGTTATAAATGAGGTATTTTTCATTTGTATGGCACACTATTTACAAACTCTAAGGTCCGGATCAATTGTGGAGTATATGACCATATGGATACGTTCATGGAGGACATGGTCATAAGTTCTCACAATTGATGAATAGGTTCACAGCTATTAAATTAAGTTGGGCACTTTATTTAGGCTGCAATGTTTTATGAGATGATTTTGTCCGAATCATTATAAAATATTGGTGTGAGTTAATACTTACATTGAAGGGATCAAGGAGAGATTTGATTAAGGTTGTTCTTTCTGTCATAAGGAATCAAATTTCCAGATAACTATAGTTATGTAATTGCCCTTAATCCTGTGTTTATTTTAAATAAATAATTAAATAGTCTTCATTCTTTGATTTACCAACGGGTGAGGTCCGATCTTTTGACGGCCAATAACTCGGTGTTTTGGGAGTGAGATTGTTTGATTATCAGTATTTATGAGATAAACAACAAGGAATTTATAGGAAATGTCCCCTTGATATATTTCGGTACTTGGATATTAAAGACACTGGCCAGTGCATGTAATCCATTAGAGAAATTATCAAAGTCAAGGGAATAGGGATGAGGTATATTATCAGATGATGATAGCTTATGGGTTACATGGTCTTGGGTTTACGAACTCAAGTTTGTATATTAAAGAGCAAGTGGGAGATTGTTGGATATATGCTCTTTTGGTCACTAAAGTCCTATTGGGCTTCAGTGACACTTGAGCCCATGAGGCTTAGGGTTGAGTTATGTCTAAGACCTAAGGTATATATTCATAGTTTTCTCCTCTTGTGCCTCCAAGGTGAACAGATCATTAGAAACAAACCCAAGAGGCAGACGTTCATCATCTGAACGGTTGCCCACACAACCATCTCATCCTCCTCAAGAGATAGTCTGGAAGATCGATCATAGAGGGAACAACTATTGTTCGTGGTCACACAACTACGCCCTTCCAGGTAATCAAAACGATGAAGGTTAATCTTTTCCCTCGTCGTGTCGGTTCGATGCGCTTCCGCGTTTCTGATGATATACCTACATTATCAGCATTAACTGTATAAATATTATTTTGAAAAAAAAAATCACTAAGCTTACCTTAGACTTTATTTGATAGTTTGAAGGGAAGGAGAAGAAAAATAGAGAATATTTCCTTCTCTTGTTTGGGAGTTAAAATCTCCAAAATGAGGAAACTTTAATATTAAGTATAAAAAAGATTTTGGAAGGTTTTATAAAATTTCACAATTCATTTCCCTCACTTTTTTAAACTTAAACAAGAGAAGGGATTTTCCTTTCCTTTACGTCCTTAAACTAACTCCCAAATAAGCCTTCAATGGTGAGGGGTACGGGTAGATGTAATAGATTGTGTTTAATTCTCAATGTATCTAAAAAAACAAAAAAATAAAATAAAGGGAGAAAAGAAATATGTTAAGAAAAACGGAGTGAATCCCACCGTTAATACAATTTGTAGAAAGATCAAAATATTGGAAGGAAATTGAGTAGGAAAAGTTAAAAAAAATAAAATAAAATTATTTCATGACTCTAATGATTCTTTTGGGCTTAGTCAATTTTATTTTTTTAATGTTTCCATTACATATGTGGGCAAGAAAAAATACTTCAATAGATGTGAGAATTTCAAATCGAACCCGCGTAATAATTAACTATCAAAGGTCTTCTTTAGGATTCAAACTCCTATTCTTTTGAAAATTCATTTGTTTTTGTGGCTTATATTATCACTTCAGGCTTCAGTCAATAGTCGAGTCAAGGTCAAACGTTTAGATAGGTTAAAATGAGTAAAAAATGGATTAATAAATTACAAAATGGAAAAGTCTAATAGGATTATGTGGTGTATGTGGTGCAGTGCTTTGTCTAACAGAATAACAGAGATAGTTAATTGATGGCCTTAAATAAGATGTCAAAAAGAAAAGGAAGATTAATAAGAAGGACAACGAAAAGTAATTTAAGTTTAAAGGATAAAATATTAAAATTATACGAAATGATCATAAACTTTATTTAGAAAGAAAGACTATTTAATTTTACTTAATGGCTAATAATATCTTTAATAATTTTTGTTTGTTAATCACTCAGTAAAGCAAATGATTGTTAAATAAAATATAATAGTCACTTACAATTTGTTTTCTTAATTTTATGTAATTTTAAAGATAGAACTTCATTTACTATCGTTAGCCACTCAATGATATTTGTTAGTGGTCATTTCTTTTAATAAAGTGGTTATGATTGCAAATGAAGTTTTACATATAAAGTTATATGAAAGTAAAAATGAAATTTGGGAAAAATTATTACTGTCTACTGTGTGGTCATTTGTTACTATTAAGTGGCTAACAAATATAAATAAAATTCAATGTGTAACATAACATGAAATTAAGAAGAAACTTATTGTCCATTTTGGTGGAATTAAATGGTCATTTTCTCTAAATAAACTTATGATCCTTCTTAATAATATTAACATTTTTTCCATTTAAAATTATTATCGTTAATTTTTCTAAAATTTAAGTATCCTAAATATTTTGAAAAAAAAATTAAGATTTCATGAGAAAATGTCATTAAATTAGTACATGTTGAGATTGTATTGGTTTTATTCTGTATAGGTTCTAATATTTTAGGTTTGTGCCCCTATAAAAACTCTTTTATAAATCCCTATATTCTTATTTCTTTCTTTATTTTTGTCTCTATCGTTGAGTATCGACTCCTATTGGTCCTTATAGTTGAACTTGAACTTATTCAGATATTGCCTCATAAGAAGCAGCGGTAGACCCAGGATTTTTTATGACGGGGGAACAAAAATAAAATACTAAAATTTTAAGTGTTATTAAAAATAATAAGATGAACTAATTATTACAAAAAAATTTAAGGAAGGACTAACTATTAGTGTTAATAATCTATTATTATTAGACAAATATCATTTTATACATATAATAATAATAAATTAAAATACAGGAGGGACAACCGTCAATGCTCGACCTTCCCTTCCATCCGCCCTGATAAGAAGACCAAAAACTTAATAATATGAAACTTTAAAAACCTATATCCAAGTAAAAAATAAAATAAGCGCCTTGGGTCCAATCAAGGAAACAGTGGCCAAAGTATCAATGATGGAAAAAAAAAAAAATACCAAAATGTCACGTCAACAGTAAATTTTGTCAAAATGTCACGTAAACAGTAAATTTTGCCAAAATATCACGTGGCATATTTCACTACATTGTGTAGCGAAATATGTGTACAAATAATTCGCTACACGGTGTAGCAAAATATGCCGCGTCAGAATGCACATAACCAAAAATGGCACGTGTCAAACAGGGAGAATTTCGCTACAGTGTGTAGCGAAATTCTCCCTGTTTGACACGTGGTATTTTTGGTTCTGACGTGGCATATTTCGCTACACCGTGTAGCGAAATATGCCACGTGATATTTTGACAAAATTTACTGTTAACGTGACATTTTAATTTTTTTTTTTTTTTTTTTTTTTGCCAACAATGACACTTTGGCCATTGTCCCCCAATCAAGAGTTGATTTCCTTTGTCTTCACTCTTCACCATAAGACCATAGTTTTTTGGGATCTATTAATCTCATGTTGCATGAGATAATTATCTCATGCAACAGAGACAAGATAGTGGGGTCCACTACTTTTTTGAAAAAAGAAAAAAAAAAAAAAATAGTGGACCCTATTATCTTGTCTCTGTTGCATGAGATAATTATCTCATGCAACATGAGATAATTATTTCCCTAGTTTTTTATCCACCGTAATGATATTACAAAGACATTTCCTGCAGGGTAGCTTTATGAATGGACAAGAAATTAAACCAGTAGCTGATGTACATGTTTTCCTGTACCCTTCAATTTTATAAAGATAATACACATACCTATATTAGACTCCGTGAAGTGTTTAGAATTGGTTAGTGAAATGATTTTCACGCTGTTCCTTCGGTGTACTGTGAGTTTGTATTACCTTTGTTTTGCATTTCTTAATCATCTGAGTAACCAATGCAGCTAATAATCTTTATAATTAAGAAACTTAATCTTCCAAATAACCGAATTCGGTGAATGTAACTTAATAACCGCGCTTTATTACCTGCATAACCAATTCGGTTTGTTAATTGAGCTTGATAACTGAGTTTCCTAGATTCGATGCACGGGCAATTGAAATACTAAAAGTATGACTTGAGTAATAAAAAATATACCCTGTTTTGGGGTTAATCAAACTTTGTTTGTGCTAAATGAAAATGCTCGATTTTTGTTTTTTTTATGTTTTTCTACGAATGATAGTTGATATATTAATAGTTGGGCTTGTAGTGACTTGACCATTCCTTTGTATTTCTAGCGGGTTCAATGAGATTTAACATATCTACATCTAACATGGCATATGCTGAAAATTTTTTACTTATGTCTTCTTACAAGGCATTGTTGAACGAAGCTTGTGTCACTTCAACTTATGGATGCTTTCACGAATAATTAAAATATTTAATTCTTTTATGCTAGTATGGAACCAAGCAAAGCCAAACAGAAGCAGTGAGATTTTTATTTAACAAGTAAATAAAAAGCGGAAACACACATAATTTCTCTATTAATCATTACTTTTATTAATACATCACAAGAGGGAAAATTAAAGACTTTGCCTTCTTGCTCGTTACTACTATGGCCCACGCATCTGCTGCAAGCAGAAAACATAAAAAAGCAAACGTCAGTCCTTATTTTTAAATTAAAAAGTTATGAAGCAAAATGTGAGAACTGATTAGAATAAAATAAAAATTAGTAAAAGCATTGCTCTATGCTAGAAATGAGATCCCAAAAGGTGGAGCCATAGTCTGTTTTTCACCTAATGTTAGCTCAAAAGTCAAAATAAAATAAAATAAAATCATTAATTTACAAATAACATTGCAAGGATGATAATCATGATAATAATATAAAATCTAGATAAAATGAAGTTTTAAGAGAACACAAAATAAAACGTTACCGTATGAGAGGAGAAGTAGAAGATCTAATCACTGTCACTGCTGCTGCTACTGTCATGGCCATGCTCATGACCATGTTCATGCTTCTTCTTATCCTTCTTCTTCTTCTTATCTTTCTTCTCACTCTTGTCATGGTCGTCACCATGTATCTTGTCCTTGATCTTGTCCACAAAGCCTTCCTTGTGCTCTCCACCATGCCCGTGTTTCTCTTCTTTGTGTTCACCATGATGTTCTCCTTTGTACTCTCCATGGCTCTCACCTTTGTGTTCCTCTTTCTTGTGCCCTCCCATATGGAGGGTCTCCTCTATCTTGTGAATGATCCCTGACATTGTTTCTCACTCTTTTTCTTTTCTTTGTTTTCTTTCTTAACAGTGCTTGAGCCTTTGCTTTTGTTTTGGATCTGATGTGAAGTATTAGGAGTGTGAATCAATTTTATTTATAGGCATAGAAAGTGAGGATAATGTGAAAACATTATCAACCTTTTGGGCTGAAATTACGGAAATGGCCATGTGCGTGTAATCTACGTGTGCTTGTAGTTGTACGTGTGCGTGTAGATGGAATCATTAATTACCATATCAAATCAGGTAATTAATAGCTTTAATGTGTTCAACTCACTTGACATATTGGTTGGTGTCTATTTGACTATAAAATAACTTTAAAGAAAAATGCTAGTTTTATGATTTTTCAAAAAATTATTAAAATATCACTTTTGATAATATCGACATCATAAACATGTTGTATAACATGAATCATAAGTTAGAAAGTCTTTTTTTTTCTAAGAGTTGCTTCTTTTTATTTGCAAACAGTCATGCCTCTTCGTTTATGAACAGTCATCTCTCTTCATTTTTAAATAATTATATTACTTCGATTTGTGACCATTTATCTCTTATAAATATTGGTGGTATGTAAACTAAAACAACAAATTTTCTTGGCTCCTTATCAAAATTATGTCAGGACTTATCCTCACATATTGTCTTTCTTTGTGATTTATCAAGCATTCTTTGTGTTCGCCAATATTGTTTCCTCTAATTGATCAAGCATTCTTTGTGTTCGTCAGTATTATTTCTTCTAGTTGTGCCACTGTCGAAACAAAGGTAACATGTTTTATCTTGCGAAGCATTTGTCTACGAATTCCAAGCATCGTTGAGGGGGCAAAATTGCCTTAGGTGGTGTTTGGTTGCGTTCTTTTTCAAACTTTCATATGCATCCGAAGGAAGCATTCCGGAAAGCACTCGTTTGGTTCCATAGATTTAGTCTAAATCCCCACCAATCCTAATTGCATTGCATTTTGAATATGCAAGTGGAATGATGGTATTTGGCACTGTTCAGAAAGAATTCTTGGAGGTGATTTTTTGTGAAAACGGGAAAAGACACTGTGTAGACAATATCTCAAACGACAATTTAGTCGACTACTGTAGTCGACTAAACCAGTGCAGGTTAATCGACTAAATTGTTGGTTTAGGACCCCAAATCTGTTTTACACATGTTTCTTGCACTTGGTTTCCACTCTACACTGATCCACTAAGGGAGTGTGACTTAGGGAGCATAATTTTCGAGTCAAAAAACCGATGTGGACATTAAATTCCTAAAACGAAGTCGTATGTTGTCATAACGTTTGTTTACGGTTAACAATACAAGATGTAGCCTTTTTAAACACATATACTGATTTGTTGTGATGTGTTATGGACGAATGTGACCTATTCAATATTGTTTTGTGCCGTGATGATCAAATTGCTAAAAAGGTTCCATTCATAAGTTATACAATATTGAAATGGAATTCAAAATTCATTACACAACATAACATAGATCCAAAAAACATAACAATTCTGCATTCATTAAAAAAGTTACGGGACATCAACAACTTAAAGGAAATACATGAAAAAAACATAATAACATGATGTAAACCCTAAATCTACTCCTCATCCCCGTCTGTGTCTGTCTCCGAGTCGTCCTCATCTGACACATGACCCCCATTGTAAGAACCTGCACCGTTAATTAAGGTATTTAATTAATTAATTATGCAAAAATAAGAAATGATTCCATAATTGACCCTAATAATTATTTATGAGGCTTAATAATCATAATAAGTGATTAAGAATGCTGAAAGTCGCTTTTCGGAAGAAAAGTGCAGATACCGGTTCTGCTAGTCGGTATAAATGTGTACAAAAAAGTATCCCGGAAAATTAATGTAAGTGCATGATAATTACTAGAATAACATGTAGGACTGGTAAAACGAGTTTCAAGTCCAAATAATGAGAACTGGTGCTAGAAACCGGTACTGGCTTTGAAAAGCGCGTATCGGAAAGGTGCTCAGAAAAATATAAGAAAAATATGATAAATCTTAGAAAATTATGTAGTTTGAGAATCCAAAGTTTGGGATTAAAATACTAAGCGTAGAAATTAAATTTAATACTGTGTGTTTAAGTGTGTTTGGGCTTTAAATACTCCCATTATGGGCGCAAAACCCTAGGATCAGATTTCTCTACGTGAGTAACTTGGAGGCTAACCAGAAAACACTCTTTCCTTGCCTTCTTCACCATTTCTTGAGCAAGCATTCACCTTTGATGCTTGTTCTTCCATTAAACACTTGGTGAGGGTGAGGGTTGGCCTTGGGACTACATTGGGGGTGGTGTTTCTAAGTTAGAGAACCTGTGTGAGGGAGTTTGAAGAGCTGTGTTTGCTGTTCTTGAGGGGTGTGACCTTTTGTTGGCATTTTGATGCTTCAAGGTGTCTTCTTGTTGAGTAAAAGAGTCATCTTGTGTTCATTTTCGTGCATCCTCTTGTGACAGTAGCTTGAGTCTGATTGTGAGCTCCAAGAGCATCTCCCTTTGCTGTTTTTGAGCTTTGGTATGTATATCAACCTTTAACTTGAGTTTTAAGGCTTAAAAATGGTAGCTTGATACATGTTAAGGTTAAAAGATGATAACTTGTTGTTGGTGAGGCTTAACACATCTAGAAATGCATGATTAGGTGTTTAAAATCGGTAAATAGGGAACCTTTAAGGGATATCTTCACGAAAATGCAGAAACTGCATTCTGTCGTGAGATATCCGGATATTTGTCGAACTGATATCCAGATATTGGATATCCGGATACGTGGTTTTGGGATATCCGGATATTGGATATCCGGATATGTGAATCTGTATATCCGGATATGGACAGTGAGATATCCGAATATTCTGGGATTTCGCAGAACAGCAGCTGTGCTGTGTGTACAGTAGGCTATTGGGGGTTTGTGAATCCTAGTTTGATGAAGTTGAACTTCTGTATTTAATGGATTAAGCCAGAATCATGGGATTTAGGGCTTGTGGCTTTGTTAGAAGCTTTAAGACTTGAAAACGTAATGAAAAGGCGTTGTCTTTAATTTGTATGCAAGTGGTACCTGTTATTGATTTATGTTTGGTCCATATCAGATTGTGATTTGCTGTGATTGGACTTTGAGCTTGTGGCATTGGATAACTAGCTTGGAGGTAAGCTTTCGTGTCCTCGGTTTAGCCATGTTGTGGTTCCACCATGTCCCATGGGGATATGGTATATGCATGCTGTGTTACATGCTTTTGATGTTTTGGAAATGCTGTTGAGCTATTATATGTTAGTGCCTTGTTGATATGCATGGAGGTGTTCCACCTATACGGTAAGCCTGAGTATGTAGAACATACAAGAGGGTGAGGCTGTGGGTGAGGTGCAAGCGGTGTTCCTTGTACTACATGTAGGGAATAAACGTATTCCTACATTTCTCTGGCCAGTAGATAGTAATTACACACATGCCATAGATATCTGTTGCACTACATAGTTTTTGGAACTGAAAATGATATAAATGCTTTTGAACTTATATTGCACATGTAAGTGAGCTTGGGGTGGAAGATCATTGAGGACCCCTTGTCTTACTGAGATTTCTAGTTTAGAGATCTCACCCCACGTTTGGGGAATGCTTATTTCAGGATCAGGTAATGTTGAGACCTCAGGCGGCAGGAGGCCGGAGCTGAGTTAGAGTGCTGTTATTTTATGCTGCCATGATTGGATGTTGGATTTGCATGCTGTTTATATGCTTATAGCTTCAGTTATGATTCTGGAGTTTTATGTTGAGATTGTTGTTTACTATGTCGATTTGGTGAGCATGGGGATTGTCCATGACACATAATATTTTTTATGTCTTGAGTCTTTTGGAGTTGTAATAATGTATCAGGATATTGTCTGGATTACTTGATGTAATGTCGTGATTTAGATACACACTTTATCTATATATTGAGGTATTTCAGTAGATGTCTTAGTGCAATTTACATACAGGCGTTATTTTATGAAATTGATTAAGTTATCAAGTTGGTAATTGATAATGACGTCATAATTGAAAAGAAAAAGAATATTCCGCATTTTTAATTAAGCACCGCTTAATACGATGTAATATTAATATTCCGGGTATACACGGGGTGTTACACCCATCCCCTGCTGCCTCAGCTACCTCCCCACCTTTTGCAAGCTCCAGACGAGCAAGCCTGTCTTCCACACCCTTAAACCTTCCATGTATGTGTCTAAACCTTTCATTCTCTTTTTTGATGTGACTCTTTCTCCATTTTTTATGTGTCAGCGCCATCTTTCCTATCTTCTTAAGTGTTGCATTTATGCCCTTCATGACATCACGCAGTGAAAATCCACCTTCAGGTTCAGCTATCTCCTCAACCTCAACCTCAGCCACATCCTCCTCCTCCTCCTCATCCTCCGTCTCTGGCTCAACAATGTGGTCATCTGGGGCAACATAAGGAACCTCAACCTGGGGCATACCACTGAACTCCCACACACCCGATCTTGTGTTCTTAGTAATCTTGCACTGCTCCAATAGACGTTTTTCGAACTTGCAATTATAGCCTGTGGTCTTCTTCAACATCTCAGTCTCCATGGGAACACCAAAGTGAACCAATATCCTCTGTACCAGACAGGCGTATGGAAGATGACCCATTATGTTTGGCCTTAAACATAAACCAACAGATATAGTGCCTCCAGTTCACCATCTGGGCATGTCGGATAGCCCACATAATGGGAATGTCATGTTCCAACACCCTGGAATGATTAAAAGATCGCGGAAACAGAACGTGGGTGAGGACATAGTGTAGTATACGGGACTCCACAGAAAGCAACCCCATTGTATAGTGCAAGTGTTCCCCACGGACTCTTCTCTGCTCCTGCACGGCATCCTCTCATACATATCCTGGAAGTACTACACCACTATCAGCGTCATACGCCACAGTATGAGAAGAGTCAAAATCATAGCCGAGTATCTCCAACCATGCAGGTGCCGTCATGATGATCTCTATTCCACAGACCCTCGACCTCAGCTCGCCCTGTACGTAGCTGAGGTTATGGTAGAAGGCCCGCACGATAAGCTCTGAATACGAACATAGGGTCTCGGCCAACA